CATGATGGCGGGCATGGGCATGGTCCTTGCGGGGATGGTCTTGGATTACGTTCAGGTAGGAAGAACAGAAAGTTCTGTGCATTTGCTTCTTTGTGTTCTGTGACTAGAGGACAGGATCTGTGATGTTTCTCTGCTAGCTGTCAACAGCCCAGGGCAGTTAAAACCCAAGATCTCATATTGTTTGGGGTAGCTAATTCACACCCACCTTGTTGTCCATAGTTGCAGAATCCCTTTGCCTGTATTTCCTTCAAGACTAAGGCTGAATTTCTGCAAACACTTTATATGGGAGGTTATGTAAGTCCTGCAAGTCTGTTGAACTTTGTAAATATGCGTGGAGTAGGGGTGTACTGGTATTTTTCTAGGGTGCCTAAGTTCCTTAGTTGATTCAAGAATTGGAACACTGTGTCACTGTGTCCCTTCCTGGCCTAGGGCTGTTTAGAGAGGGCTTCTGTACAGATTCTACAGATTCTGCTATTCTCTATTCCTATCTCTGCTAGCTGCTAATGTTACGTATTTATTGCTTTAATCTTGCTTTGTGTACTGTCTGAAGTGCAATAGCTGTAGATAATGTCTGAAATAAATAGTCTTAAACACAAACTCTTATTTATTTATTTCATTATTTAAATATTTATACACTGCTTGATTGTAAACAACAACAAAGCGTTTTGCAAAAGGATGAAACAATAAAATCAAGAAAAAAATTACATTCCTAAACTCAGAGGTTTGTCCTACTGCTATCAATTAGGTGTGTCTACACTGGATTACAGTCTTAAACAAACAAGGATTTAAAAGTACTAAATCAAGTGTTGATTTTTTTTTTTACTATAGACAGGTGACTCAACCCTCTGCTTTATTTTTATATTAACGTTTTCTGTATTTTCTATAAGTTAAAACTAGAATTTGAATAAGTACTTCCTAATGGGTGCTTTTTTAAGGACTGCAATCCTTTTCTCTCACTACCTGATTTATTTAACTAGCAAGGCAGCAGGTCATGCTGCCCCTTATCTATCAGATAGGAGGATTACACTGAAACAACAGGGGGTGGGGCGGAGAACCTTTCCGGCATGCCGTGACCACTTTAACAGAGCTGAAGTTAATATTTCTCCTGGATATTTAGCAAATCAGATAGGTCCCATAAGGTTAGAGGTCCCACCTATTTCAAATTGACACTGTGTTCCAGAACTCATTTTATTGTACTAGGTAATAAAGGACATACTGTACACGCTATTAAGAATCCCTGTATAAACAGACACCATATTACTGTTTTTAATATGTACCCTTTTAAGACGGTTAAATCACTACAGTCAAACCTCGGCTGTCGAACGTAATCCGTTCCGGAAGCCCTTTTGGCTTCCGAAATGTTTGACAACCGTGGCGCAGATTCTGATTGGTTGCAGGAGCTTCCGGCACTGTTCAGCTTTCGAAAAACGTTCAAAAACCTGAGCATTTACTTCCAGGTTTTCAGTGTCCGGGAGCCAAAACGTTCCAAAACGGAGGCATTCGGTAGCCGAGGTTTGACTGTATTAATTATTTTTATTCATTTTTATTGGATTTTAATAGCAACAGTGCAAACAAATAAAAAATCAAGATTCACTGTTCAAAGGAAGGACATGTTATCCTCACCTAATAAAGAGAATCGTGACACTGGGAATGGGCCTAATTTAGCTCACCAGGCCTCACAAGCTGGCCCCCAGGCCATGTCCCTGAAGAGAAGAGAGGGTCTAGTTTTCATCCCCATTGTGGCATGGCTCTAAACCCAGGACACACAGCTTTCCACTGAGGTAATGCCTGAAAATGGACGCGGGTGGCGCTGTGGGTAAAAAGCCTCAGCGCCTAGGGCTTGCCGATCGAAAGGTCGGCGGTTCGAATCCCCGCAGCGGGGTGCGCTCCCGTTGCTCGGTCCCAGCGCCTGCCAACCTAGCAGTTCGAAAGCACCCCCGGGTGCAAATAGATAAATAGGGACCGCTTACTAGCGGGAAGGTAAACGGCGTTTCCGTGTGCTGTGCTGGCTCGCCAGATGCAGCTTTGTCACGCTGGCCACGTGACCCGGAAGTGTCTCTGGACAGCGCTGGCCCCCGGCCTCTTAAGTGAGATGGGCGCACAACCCTAGAGTCTGTCAAGACTGGCCCGTACGGGCAGGGGTACCTTTACCTTTTTAATGTCTGAAAAAGGTTCTCTACATCTGTTCTGCCATTGCGTCTATCAAGGTCCTCTTGATTTAGCTGTGCTTTGGAAGTCTAAAATCATAGAATCGTAGAGTTGGATCATCTAGTCCAGCCCCCTGCAATGCAGGAATCTCAACTGAAGCATCCATGGCAGATGACCATCCAACCTCTGCTTAAAAACCTCCAAGGAAGGAGAGCCCACCACCTCCCGAGGGAGACTGTTCCACAATGTGCAATAGAAGTGCAGTAGAAATGCCACATGTTGGATTTTTACCGACGTTTATGCTCTTAAATATGTTGTTGAAGTCACTTGGGTGCCTTTCTGCATAACAAGCAACTATCGAGGTCAACAGATAATTATTAATATAAAAAATGAGTATCGGAGACCAACAACTAGATCTGTTTGTCTAGTTAACTAGCTATCTTTGTTTGAAAACACTTAATCCTTGACTGGCTGACTTGGATTGTTATTTTGGTTTTGATGGCATTTCTTATTTTTTTGGGTTGTGTGTAGGTGTCTTGTTTATCTCTTGAGTGCTTCAAGGTGCTAGGCACCATACGGGAGTCTTATAATGAAAAGAAAACTCCTGTTCCCAAGTGTGCACAGATACGTAAGCTTATTTATTTCTGTGCTGGTAGATGCATTCCTCTTGGCTGGAGACACCTTAACTGTGTAATAAAGGAAGAAAGAAACTGTACACTCTCAGGTCTCCTGAGTTAACTGGCGCTTTCTGAATATTGATTTGTTGCCTGTAGGCTTTTTTATGGTGCTTGCTTAATAATGGACGGAGATGGGGAGCAATAAACTCATTCACCCAAGACTGTTGAACCTTACTGAAGGCCATGCTTGCTACTGCATCCCAGTAGGAACTGGAACTGCTCCCTGTGCCATGGAATCGCTGTGTGTGAGAGGGAAAGCAGCAGAGAGAGCGGGTGGTGGGAAATGGCAGAGATCGAACTGAACGCCATTTTGGAGCCCCATCACCTCTGTGGGAAATGGGCTACAAGAAGTCCCTGCTCTTTTAACTCTCAGGGTTGTAAGATTTAGCATGAAGGATGGGGGAAATGGGTTGATAAAGTAAATGAGTGGCGGTGAGGTTTGGGAGCTGGAGTCACCACCCTGCCATTTTGGAGATGTTTCTATAACATGGCCTGCCTTTAATATGTTTTCATGTATGTGTATTTTGTACATACAGCAAGGCAAGTGGCTACTAAGGAGAAGGGCTGGCTTTGGTGGCACCCTGGCTGTAGAATTGCCCCTTCCCCTCACAAAAGGCTTGCCTGGTGTCCATTTCATGGTGCCAAAAAGCTATTTCCCCCCACCTTTTTTAAAAAGTTGTTTTAAATAAGCCTCTCACACCATTTCATAGAATTGTAGAGTTGGGGTTTGAGAGAAAGAATCTCTCTCTCTCTCTCTCTCTCTCTCTCTCTCTCTCTCTCTCTGTGTGTGTGTGTGTGTGTGTGTTTTAATCTAATTGTTTTATTCTGTTTCCACTAGAAAGATTTTTTTTCATTGTTTTCTAAGTACAGTCATACCTCAGAAGTGGAATGGAATCCATTCTGGAAGTCCGTTTGACTTCCAAAACATTTGGAAACCAAAGCGTGGCTTCCAGTCAGAAGCCGCAGAAGCCCCGTCAGACTTCGTTCGACTTCCAAAAATACTTCGCAATACTTCGTTCGACTTCCAAAAATACTTCGCAAACCAAAGATAGTTACTTCTGGGTTTGCGGCATTCGGGAGCCAAAACTTTTGAGAACTAAGCTGTTTGTAAACCAAGGTATGCCTGTATTGCGTACTGTGTTTGCTGTGTTTGCTGGTGGGCAGCCATATTTAATCAGGGAATCTCATTCTGACCCTGTCCGTTGGCCAGAGAGACCTAAGGACAGTGTGTACCCCCTGCCTCCCAGAAAGAAAACATTATGTCAAGGGGGAGACCAGTGTGAACCTCCGACCCCCCCCCCAGCAGTCAGCTGGAGGAGAAGCAGCTCTGGGGAGCTTGTTTCCACCCCCTCCCTTCCAGAGAGAATACTCGGCTCAAACTGCCAGTTGTTTTCAGACTCTGAAGGGAAACACCGTGATTAAGGGGATCTGGGTGTGGGTAGTAGGTGTGAAGGGGAATCTGCAGTACCCCTCCATGCTGCCATTTCTGGAAGGGAACAAGGGACGTGAATATTGTTTTCCTGAAAGTGATGCTGTTCCATAGGAACAGGAAGCCTGAAGAGGTTTTATTTCCTCTTCCTGTGCAGCAAGGTAATATCTAAGGACCATTTAGCTGATACTAGATGTAGATGCGCTAGGCTTAAGCCAGGCACATGTCTAACTGAGTAGATGCCTATTCCCCGTGGCAAGGAAAGCATGTAAAAAGATTAGTGTCAAGGCAGATATTATCACCAAAACCTTAAAAAAAACAAAAAACCATCCAGCTTGTGTCAGAAAGGCTTCCTTATTTGGTCCTCATGATCAACCCACTTTTAGTAATCAGAGTGAAATCTGCAGGGATGCTTGCAGAGATAAAGTGGGCGTTAGAGTTGTGTAGCACCATTTGAAAGAAAGGCTGCTTTGCGAGGATCTGTGGTACCGAAAAGTGGCACAGAACAGAACAAAAAATAAATAACAGAACAGAACAAAAATCAGGTAAGTTTGTTACCTGAAACATCTAGTCCTCCAAATGCCTGCAAAACCTCCATTAAAAGAAAACATGACCCTCCACATCTTTAATTTGGGGGTGCTATCGCTTTTTAGAAAATTATTTAAACATTCAGATTTCTATCCATTTTTATTATATCCCTTTTGATCCAAAACTAGACTCAAGATGTCGCTGAATGGACAAAAACTACACCACAAACTATTTGCCGTCCAATTAACGACAGCCCCCTCCTGGTCTCACTTGTAATCAAGAATGTGTACTGAGATTTTCTTCTTAAAGAATTGATCAAAGGGGATGACAACAGACAGAAACTTCCCACATCTAAATTCCCACACAGTTGACAAAATTTGAACCACCTGGGCCAGAACTCTCCCACCATGAACTCTCTTCCATGAAGGGGTTGGACTGATAGAGCCCCACTGATCATTTTTACACTAGTGTGTGCCAAATGCCCTTTCTCTCAAGCCACCACGGACTGTGTCACTTTTTTCCTTCTTCTTTAGCCTTCTTTTTTAAGCTATGCATAACAGTGCCTTGCAGACTTTTAGGACAGGAAGTAAAAACAAACAAACAAACCACATAGAACCAACCCCCCTGGAAACTTTTCCACTGACTAACAAGACTAAAGAACTACCTTAAATAAAACTTGTGCACAGACTCTTATCACAGGCCTTTGCATAGTAGCTGAAGGCTGAAGTGATGACAGCAGATAAGGGTGTTAGCCTTTGAAGCTCATTGGTTTTTGCTGTGGAATTTTTTTTCTTCTTCTGAAAGCCAGTCTTTTAGAGACAAGCAACCACATATTTCCTGAACTTTTACACCCTTAGCAAAGCTTGGGGAAACAGAGAAGAAAAGGGAGCAGAGGGACAAGAGTGCCTTTCCACTTGGTACATCTCCTAAGCTATTCCTCTTGACCTCTTCAGTGGGACCAGCCTCCTATCCCTGATGACCTTTCTTCACCTTGAGGAAACAAGAGGGAAAACAAGAGAAAACTGAGGAGTTCATTACCCTCCGCCTCCTTGACTCGGGACGGCAAGCAAGTATAGTTCAGTGTCAACACATGATGAGCTGGAAGCAGTTGTGACTGTTTCATCAGCACAGGATTACATTTTCAACCATCGTATTTGTAACTTGAGGAGAAAGGACACCAGTGACTGAAATATTCAAGAGGGATCTGTGCACAGTCTGTTACGCTTCATGCTGGTGGAACTCGGTGCCATAGCGTAAGCCGGTCTTTCTGGTTTCCATCCAGGTTGCTGAAGTCACCGAAGAAGTGGTTTTGTATGTATTTATCCGTAAACGTCTTAACAATCAAATTCCTTCCTCTGGATTCTGTTTCCATTCTGGAGTATAATGTAAAGAAGGAGCTGCCTTGAAGCATTAATGAAAGCTGCATTTATCTAAGACAAATGGAATTTAGAAAGTAGCCTTGTGGTTCTTTGGTGGAAGAGAGAAGACTGCAAACAGAAGACACGTGGTGGCAGAACCCTGACTTAAAAAGTGCCTTAGGCTCTGGAATGTACAACTGAAAGTGAGGACCACCTCCATATCCTGGATTTCCTCCAGCCCACCTGCTTTTTGAGTATGCGTTAATGGCGCTCAGTCATGGTGGTCACGCAGCTGAAATTGGAGCTGTGCTTCCATGGGAAAAAACTCAGAGGTTTCACCTGCAGGTACATCAGATCAGTCAGTGGATTCCTTCCAGAAACATCGTTCACCATAGCATCACAGATTTTTGTGCCATTCATCCTTTCAGGTTTCGGCCTGTTATTTGCTGGATTGTTGATCGATACTGTTCAAGTATGTATGGGCTTTCAAGTACGTTAGTAACACCGTTGGTAAATGTTGCCTGGGTGACTTTGAGCATCACTTTTTAAATTGTGGGTACCTAGGAGCTATGAGCAGTGTTGTGTGCTTCCTTGTCTGTGGGGAAAGCGCCTTCCATGGGCATGCTAGGGTCACAAAGAGGTATTTCAGAGGAAAGCTCTTGTTCATTTTCAAGGCACATGACTGTATCTAACTGTCCGGGAGCACAGCTATTAGGATGAGTTGTATAATACTAACGAGAGAGAGGCCAACAGGGAATCCCGGGGAGCATATAAATGTTTGGGAAATCCCTCTCTAGGCCAGCTTCAGACTACTGAGCTCTGAAGTTCAGTGCTAGGTGAACAGGATGCTGCTCATTTTGCTCTGAACCTGAGTGGTACAGCATAGGGGAGGGGATCATTTTCACTTCTCCTTTCCACATAGTGGAATTTGACTGGGGGTGCAACCCTTGACCCTTATTTCATTCCTACTGTGAGTGGCTCAGACAGGCCAATTCCATCCCTCTTCCCCTCCCTTTTCCTCTCTCTTTCAACTGACACTCGTTTGAACTCAACATTCCATGATACCTGTCTTCCTCGGTCTGTTTTTGTGGGAGGACGTGGTGTCCTTTTTTCTGTTTGTAATTCCCAAATTAATGTTTTCTTCAATATCTGGGAAGTCCGCTGAGTATGCAACAACTTTTGCATTGTCTGTGGGTGGTTCATTTCACTGTTCCATTGAGTCCCATGGCCGTCCCTCATGCGTGTGACTTTGCTTACACCAGGAGAGAGTCATTTGCAGCTTAACCCTGTGCACAAGTCTTTGGGGATAAGCCCCGCATGCTGTTGATAGAATCAATGCTGTTGATCTTTGTAACATGTGTCACTATTATATTATATTAGCCCAAATTCATTCATTCATCCTCTCTCTCTCCCCTCCTTTCCTCTCCCTGTCATTTTTGATCCTGGTAGAAATGTCACCAGTGCTTTTGCTGCCTCCCCTGAGCATCAGCTGATACACTGGGGGGGTGGGGGGGTAGGAAAAGGAAACAGCCAGTTCATGCACGACATATAAGGAATGGAAATCAAACATGCACCATTAGATCTCTGGCAGCACTGACCTTGCCACTTTTCCTGCCATGTTTTTCTTTGTCACCCTCAGGGACAAATTGCACACGATGCTTAATGAGTAGCATGATTGATTACAGGTGGAGTGAGGGAAATTCCTACCATAAATGCAGTTTATGGTATGGAGAGACTTATTTCTTCATTCTCCAGCCACAAGTGGGACAGACGTTCTGCCCTCCCCATTTGGACAGAAGCCTGGGAGGGAGGGCATTCCCACCAGTGCCAATTGACACCCCCCCCCACACCTATCCCTGCAGTTATTGTTCTGATTGTGATTGGGGAGAGAAGGGGTCATGATGCCGATAATTTAATTAATGAAACTCCAGGATATAGCTGTATGCTATTAGGTGTCATTTTGAACACTTAGAATCAGATGCCACAAAGACAATATTGCACTGTTGAGCTCCATGTTAATTGATAGCCGTGTCATGTAGGATTTCTAGCCATGTGGACCACATAATGTAAGAGCTCAGCTGACTGTACTGGATACAGGCGATAAGGACAGAGCCCAACCTCGTCATAACTGAGCAGAAAGTAATAAAAACATTAACTGACACTACTCACTCTGTGTACACTGTCTACTTTGTAAAAGAGCAGCCTCTGTGCATCACCGCTTTATGAGCTCAGCAGTGTCATGAGGAAAGCAAAATTAAGAGGTGCAGACAAGGGAGGAATGAGTAACTCTTGGCTCCAGTTTGAGATGAATGCAGAGGTCACCGAGCCAGCCTATACCCTTGATGGTGCTATTGTAATTTCAGAATACTTACATTCATTTTTGAGGGTTTTTAAAATTTGCGCTGAAGGTTGGATTTGATGTAATAAAAACAAAAACAAAAAACCCTTAAGGCTGTGAGTCACACATAATGATTCATGGAAGAATACCGTAACCGTATTCTAAAGGGGAAGGGGAAGGAATTAGAAATTGGGGGTTATTTGATTTCTCTATTACTGCCTGTAATTGAACTACAGGTGTTGTCTTTTTAACGTGCACATGCCTCCATGTTTAGGCTGTTTTTGTTGTCACCAAAGTGTTTGCTGTTGGGTCTACACACCCCTTTCCAATCAAGTCTGGAAGATTAGCAGGCTAATTTCCAGAGTTACTTTTCTCATCTAATCAATTTTTTTTTATCCCTTATACCGTGGTCCAAGATGTGAAAGCTACTAATCACTACTAATGCAACTTACACTGTGTTTTTTCCTCCTATGCATCTTTCTTTCATATTGCACAGCTTTGTAACGACACTTTGTTCCTCAGTCTCTCCCCCCCCCCATTCTGTTCCTTTCAGCATTTCTGGTACAGTGGTACCTCGGGTTAAGAACTTAATTAGTTCTGGAGGTCTGTTCTTAACCTGAAACTGTTCTTAACCTGAGGTACCACTTTAGCTAATGGGGCCTCCCGCTGCCACCGCACAATTTCTGTTCTCATCCTGAAACAAAGTTCTTAAACCGAGGTACTATTTCTGAAGCTTCTGTAACCTGAAGCGTCTGTAATCCAAGGTACCACTGTGCTCATGTAAATGCATAGCTTAGTAGTTGGAACCCATAGTAATCAGTCCATATCTAATGATGCTTGGCAAGTTTTGGATTGCCTGTCCTTGCAGAAGAATGGTAGGTAGAGTCATTGCACCATCTGCTCTCTCAAAGTCCTGAAGATTAGGGTTGTTTATTACTAGTTCAGGGGAGTATCTTCAGCAGCAGAACATCATACATCACATTTTTTCCCCTGATATGGAACTCTTCAGAAGCTACTGGCCTAGATGACTCAGGGAGGCTTTTGCTGCACTCTTGGCGAGCATCCTTCAATAGGCTGAGGAGAAGAGTGAGGACTTGTTCCGTTGGAGAGGAGTGAAAGAGGAGGAAGATCTATGAGCAGGGGCTGGGGAGAATCAAGGGAGAAAGGTGGGTTACAGGAAAGGAAATTTGGTGGGGAGATAAGTAGGCAGGTGGTAGATTGAGGGGAGGAATGTAAGAAATTTGGGAGGAGATAGATAAATTTGCATGGAGAAGGTGGCAACTGGGGAAAGGAAGGAATGGAGTAGCTGCAAAGAGGAAGAGATAAGCAAAAGACTGGAAGGGTAGAAAATATGCTTCCTTTGCTGCTGCTCCAGCCTCCTGGAATTTCTTGCAGGCAGGTTCCTACTTGTTAATCTATAATTCAAGCTCTCCTTTGTTCAAACTTATCTTTTCATCTAACATCACCTTATTTGGGTCACATTCCTCTAAGGGCCATTTTCTAGCTCCTTATATACAACTGCTGTTAGCAATGAACTGGTTCTTTTTCTTTTTCTTCACCTCATTCCTTTTCCAAGGCCCACTGAGCCTCTGTGGTAATTTCCAGCTGATTTTGCAGACCTTCACTGGTCTTTGTCATTAGGTTTATCAGCTGGTATTAAATACCAATGCGTGGCTCTATTCTCACTTGAACTGTCTCCTGCCGTGGCCCACCTTGTTGTCTCTCCTGTTTCCATACCCTGGAATGAAGGCATATGGACACACGTGTCATTAATGGAGAACCTCTGCCCCTTTAGAAGTTGGACTACAACAGTCAGGGAGAGTAATATATACAATCAGACCTTTGGTTCATTGAACCCAGGGCTTTCTGCTCTGACTGACCGGCAAAAGATCCAGGAACAAAAAGTTGAGGTAATGGTTGCTCCTTAGAGCAAGTGAATGAACCTGCCACCCTTAATGACTTTGTCTAAACGATCTCGTCACAAAATGCTCTGGGAAGGAGGAGTAAGTGATTCATTGGTATTATCCAATAGGTTCCCATGACAGAAACATAACATTATTCCATGATGAAGAGCTCTAAACGACTACTAATCTTGCATATACCTATGCCAACAAGCAGGTGGTCACATAAAAGAAGTTGCCTCAATTTTTGTTATATATATTGTTTATGGTGGCTGATAATACTAGTTTGTTTCACTACTTTTTTGGGCGGGGAGAGGAGAATCATTTAGTCCTTTGGCAAGCAATTTCAAAGATTTCATTGCCTGGAGATCTCTCTTAGCTAGTGTTGCATCACCATGCTGCCAAGTACAATGTGTGGAAATTGTGCATCCGTGTTTGTGACTAAAGAAGACTGTGCTTGGTATAGTGGTGGATTAACATCCTCTCCTCTCCCTTTCTCTCAGCACTGGCCTGTGTTCAAGACTATCACAGAAATATTTATCCTGATTCCAGCCCTTGTCGGATTGAAGGGCAACCTTGAAATGACCTTGGCATCTAGACTTTCTACTGCTGTAAGTGTCAACTTTGGTGTTGTTTTACTTTTTAATATGCAGAGATGTGTTCATGACTTTTATTTCACAAGGACAGTTTGGAGGTGTAATCAAAGAAGTCTCCTGAGCTGCCCATCCATGAAAATCGATTGCCCATGGTGTTGCTACAGGGTATCCCAGGGACCTGAGCTCCAGAGCTTTAACGCTCCAGATCTTTAGATCTCCTGCCTGTTCCTCTCCTTTTTTTATTTTTTAAACTTTGCTTTCAGGGTACTTCTAACTGGCTGATTAAATCTGATTAAAAGGATGGATTTGCTGCAGCTAACACCAACATGCTGCATGCCTCTTATACCAGAAACATTTAAAAGAAGCCACCTTATACTTATTCATTGCATTTGTCCGTTTAGCTCAGTATTGTCTACACGAGGGATAGAGAACCATTTTTTCAGCCTGAGGTCCACATTTTTGTGGCCAGTCTTCTGGAGGCAGATGGTCAATGGTGGACATGGCTAAGAGAAAATTGGCCTCCTCCCCCCCCCACCATGCACACAGACACACATATCACCACAGAACAAAGCAGGGGCATGAATATTGTCAGGAGAAAAAGATGCTGTAGTCTCCCTGCCCCACCTCCTTGCTCAGCAGTGGAAAAGCAGGGGCTGCACCTTTGAGAAAGTCCTGCTTTGAGGTACTTCAACAGTGTTGAGGCAGCAGCCCATAGTGAAGACAGATTCCTTTGCCTGTTGGGAAAGACAAGAGATGATGGATGTGGAGACTCCCAACAGAGCAACCTCCCCTTCTCCTTTCAAGGTGCTGCAGCCACTTTTCTCTCTGTTCATGATGGAACTGCTGCTTCCAGGTCACTGGTGTGACCAAGAAACAAGGCAGGAACAGACTTAATTCTCAATGTAAACCAATTAGCCGAGCAATGAGGAAAAGGCAGCCAGGCTTTCTAGGGCTTAGTGGGCCCTGTTTCACATATGAAACAGTTAATCCCAAAAAATTGTGTTGGATAGGGAGATTGGCCGTGATAAAAAAGAATACTATTGCCTAGTCAGCGGCAACCTGTTATTTCACGCACACACAAACCAACTATTAAATATACAGTGAATTAAAATTTCCTTTTTGCTGAGGAACAAACCATTAGGTGTTAATGGCAAACCATCCCACAATCTAATACAGTGGAGCCTCGGTTTTCAAACGTAATCCATTCTGGAAGACTGGAAGACGTTCTGGAAGACTTCCGGAACATTCAAAAACCAAAAATCAAAGGGTTGTTGGCAAAGCGAATGGTGAAAATGGAAAAATGCGCCGCGGAAGCCGTTCGACTTCTGAGGTGCATTCGAAAACAGAAACATTCACTCCTGGGCTTTTGGCATTCGGCTTCTGAAATGTTCAGCAGCCGAGACATTTGAAAACTGAGGTTCCACTGTAATACATTCCAATCTGCCTTCTAGATAGTTTCAGTTTTAACTAAGCATATTGCTGCAGCTGTATTTCACGCCCAGGGTTTTGGTGTGCAAAGTGGGCTGAGGAATTAACTCCTAGGAACCAGCGATCATTTTTTGTGTGAGCCCAGGCTGGGATAGAAAAATGCCCACATTAAAATACTAGCTACCATAGAAAGCCAGGTTTGATATCATTCTAGACCTGGTCATGCCTGATCCTAGGCATATTTTTTATTATTGAATGAATGAAAAATAAAATGTACTGTATATATACATTTGTCTGTACCTCATGTTATGTTTGCTTCAGGTTGCACTTTTTCAGGTTGCATCCCACAGCGACCTGGAAGTAACGGAACGGGTTACTTCCAGGTTTCGCCGCTTGCACATGTGCAGACGCGCAAAATGACGTCACATGCATGCACAGAAGTGGCGAATCGCGACCCGCGCGTGCGCAGGTGTGCAGACGCAGGTTGTGTTCTTTTCAGGTTGCAAATGGGCCTCTGGAACAGATCCTGTTTGCAACCAGAGGTACCACTGTACATGAACAAGTACTAAGTTACGTGTTAAGTTTTATTTACTTATTTAGTCATGACTGGCATCCACATACATTCATTTTGACAGGATTTTATTATTGTGGGAGTTTTTGTTGCTGCAAGATGGAGTTACATAGATTGCCTGTAAAGATAAATTCATTGGAGGATATGGACTACATAAGTCTTCGGTCTTGCCTAGAAGAGTTCTTTCCCAACTTTCCAACTTTTGTATGTAAATTCTCTCTCTCTCTGCCTCTTTCTGCGTCTCTTTTTCCTCTTTCTCTCATTCAAAACACACATGGTTTTAAAAGTTTTTAATCCCTGGACAGAACAGTTTTTTTAAAAAAGTTTTTTAAAAAAACTTTCATGCCTTGGTCACCAGTGTGGAATCTGCACAACCTGCAGCTGTACCTGCACACTGGGTGTAGCCAGTCTGAGCCACCGTCCTTGACAATCTGGTGCCACATTGTATGCTCAGATCCTGTTTGCACGGCTAACGGGAAGAAAAGAAAACCCGTGCCCTGCAGGGGCCGATGTGGAATGCCCTGATACATATGGAAAGGGCGGAAACAGAAATGACTGCGACTACGGTGCTCCCAAAGTCTGGGTGTAGCCTCCTACACCCAGACTTTGTGTGAGCCCAGGCTGGTATTCTCCCCCACCTTGTCAGCCAGCGAGTAACATTTAAGTTTTCCCTCTTCTGCCTTCCAGGCTAATACTGGAAGAATGGATGATACTCAGGCACAGTGGAAAATGGCTACTTGCAATTTGGCTCTGATTCAGGTAGGTAGATCTAAACTTTTGCTTGAGACCTCTTTATAGTATTAGTCAAACTACACACCCTGCGGACATTCTCACGGGTGCTTGGAGTGGTGTGAGCGGCAAGGCAAGGCTTAGGGTATCTGCTCATTGTGTGCTTTCAAAACTGTGCTTTACAATCGGTGGAGGAGGCCTAATTTTTCTGTACAAAGTCTTGTTGGCTGCACGCTTTTAAAGCCTAGCAATTGCAATCAGAGACTACCTAAGGCTTGAGCCTCACATCCACAGCAGCTTTTCTTCATTTATGAGCTCACAGTGTGACCTATGTTTCATAAAGGTCAGGTTTATAAAGTTCCAGGTTTAGTGTACTGAATAGCTCATGTGGAATCTTTTTGTGTACATGTGCATAGCTTGGAACTTGCTGGATGTCTACATATAGTCTGGGATTTTTCCCAATGTCACCATCTTTAGAGGAATGTGATCCTGCATACCTGTGCCTCTCTAGGAATTAATTGGCATTCCTATGCTGTGTTCACTCAACGTTTATCTGCGAGTTGAGGTAGAACCTCAGATTCCCCCCCCCAAAAAAAAGTTAATGCCTGTTCAGTTGAATATATGTTCTGAAATATAATAACTATGAAAGCCAGCTATTCAGACTAGAGATATTAATAGTTTTCTAAATATTGATTAGATTATTAATTGTACTTATCTCATTATCTCTTCCTATCTTCCTGGGCCTGGTTATAAACCCATCTTAAGGTTCCAGTCCTGAACATCGTATATGAAAATAACGTCCCGTTGAATTCTGGAAGCTTACTTTGCACAGCATGCTTTGACTTAAATTCCTACTATTTTCATTGCTTAAGGAAATGCCCTGAAGGTGATTGTTTAAATTCGTTTTTTCAGCCTGGTGTCCCATCAGCTGTGCCAGGTTGATTAAGGCTGGTTTAAGGATTACTTGTTCAGTACATCTTCATTAAATACCCTAATAATAGCAATTGAACTGAGCTATCATTTGGTCACTACTTTGGTCAGCTTAAAGAAGTTAATTTTCTCAACTGCCTTTTAAAGATACAAGATAATGGATTGCATTTTATTGGGCCAATGTCTGTTGGTAAAGGAGTTATCAATATATTAAGTTACACAACGATGCTTACCAGGGTTGAAATGTAACTGTGTAACTCACATGTTTTCATACTTCTTTATCAACAGAAACATCTGCTAACGGTCCTAATGAATTGGCCATATCCTCATTACAGATTTAAACTCTCTTCTCAGGAAACCCTAAGGTTGTAGTACTGTGAAGTGAGAATAGGAATATCTAACAGGGAATTCTCAGCACCTCACAAAACTACAATTCCCATAATTCTTTGGGAGTGGGACCCATGGTGGTTAATATGATATGAAATTGATATGTTTGTAGTCCAGAGATGCCCTGTCTGTTGAGTGCATGTAGAAATATTGGGCAGAATGTTTGTTTTCATCCACGAGGGGGCAGCAGTAAGCTTTTGTGAACAACCTAAAGATGCCTGAATTTTAATACAGTATGACACTCCGAGCACCACATCACACATTCCCGTCTTGGAGATTTCAGACCTGCATCTTCCCTCACAAGTGTGTCTGAAACCCTGCAAAAGGGAAAACATTTGTGAGCACATGCAAACGGAAAGATAGCTGGCAGGGAAAAGGTTTTGTGAGCACGTGCACACACACGCACTGCTGTGTCATTGCTCAATGCCTCGCTACCTCGAAACTGCTTTTCCTTTTTGAAAAAAAGAAATTTTGAGTCTTTCTGGTGCTTTTGCATGTAACCTGCCATTTGTTCCTGTGCTACCTTAGACCAGACGTCTGCAGGAATGCTTGCACGTTGATACCAGACGAATAACTCCTGAGACTCTCTGTCCTCCATTCTTGTTGCTCCACAGTTGCAGGCCACGGTGGTGGGGCTCCTGGCTGCAGTGGCAGCAGTCCTTCTTGGTGCCTTGACCAAAGGCTACTTGGAGCTGAACCAAGCAGCCGTCCTGTGTGCCAGCAGTTTGACAACAGCATTCATAGCCGCCCTCTCACTTGGTGAGTCTTTGTAAACTACTCAACTTTAGAGTAGGATCCAGTGTCTCTGGAAGCCTCTCTCTGTACCTTGCCATAAACAGTCTCAGGTCCCCTTTCTCTCTTAGGATGACTCCAGTGCTCAGGTATGCTTCCCAGTAGTTTCGTCATGACTGCCTATTCGCCTTGAGCCAGAGCTGTTAGAAAATTGATTGATGCTTTTAGGAACCCAAGCACCTTCAGCTTTCTGGCCCTTCACCCAAACCTAATATCCCACCTTCTGCCTTTCATGGGATCCAGTTGTCCGCTTAGAGCAGGGGTCAACAAGGCTTACCGGGCATGGGCCGGATCACTCCTGCGGAGCTCCTCCATGGGCCGGACCACCACAGCACAACGCCAGAAATCGCGTCTGTGCATGTCTGTGGTGCTGGAAATCACTTCTGCGCATGCCCAGACGCCAAAAATTGCGCCTGTGCAGAGGCAAATTTTGGCGTCTGGGCATGCAACATAAGTGATTTCTGATGCCGTGGACATGTGCAGGTGCGATTTCCGGCATCTGCGCATGCGCAGAAGCAATTTCTGGAGCCACAGAAGAGAGTCCCTGTGCCGCGCTGCACCGGTTTAGCGCAGCACTCGGGGACTTGCTGAGTGGGTGGTTTGGTTCGGGAGCGGCTCATGGGCCGGTTAAACGGCCTCCGTGGGCCGCAAGTTGGGGACCCTTGACTTAGAGAAAAATCTCGAAATCTAGATGAGCAGTCTTAGGTACTAAGTGCGTTCCTCTCTCATTTCTGATCTTCTGACTTCAGCCGTCGTGATATGATGGCATTCTCTGTGCCGTGGGGATTTTATGTCACTCCAGAAAGACTGTTTCACTGTGCTTTTTGCCAAATGGAGCATTGCTGCTGCTAAGAGGAGAAGCTTGCAAGTTTTCCACAAGAGAGCAGCACAAGACCTTTAAAAAAGAAGGAAGTAGATGGCGGCATCAGAAATGCTGCCACCCTAAAACACAAAGAAATGAGGGCAACATCTTAGGATGATGAACTGCTCCTTCCTGTTTGAACAAGGCAAGATGGTTTAGGATGCAAGATTGCTACTCCGTTGTTTTCCTCAGTGATCTGAGTGGGTATGAAAGAGAAATATGATACTATTGACACATTCCATGGAGGAATTTATTTTGGCTCTGATAGCGAAGTGTATCTGCCATGCATTCAGACGCCTTATTCCTCTGAACATCACTCGCTAGGGATAAGGAACAGTGGATGGCCCCCTGCCTTAGGAACTCAGGAAGCTGCCTTGTATCGAGTGATATCACTGGTCCATCTTAACTCAGTATTGTCTACATTGAATGGCTGCAGCTCTCCACGGTTTCAAGCAGGACATTTCTCCATCTGTACCTGGAGATTTGGACTTGGGACCTTCTGCCGGCAAAGCAGACTCTCTGCTACTGAGCCATTGCCCTTCCCTGCCTTCGTTAGGTCTGAAAGCATTGCCAATAGGAAATGCCCAGCCCGTTGTAGTTTGCCAGGGCTTTCAAGCCTTTACGAAGGTCCAATCATTCTTGCAGTTCTCAGGGATCTTAATGTTAGGACCCTCTTGTTTGGAAAGCTTTCAGGCACAGTGAAAGGGAGTCCATTTGGACTGCATATGGAATGGATATCTATGTTATACCTGGCCTCAGCTGATGTATTCCCCCCCACCTTGTACAGAAGCCCTTTTCTCCCTAGCTTATCTCCTCACCCCAACTTACTCCTGTAGTTAATGTTGGCTTGTTGATTATGGTTTGGGAAATGTACATTAATACAGTGGTACCTCAGGTTACATACGCTTCAGGTTACAGGCGCTTCAGGTTACAGACTCCGCTAACCCAGAAATAGTGCTTCAGGTTAAGAACTTTGCTTCAGGATGAGAACACAAATCGTGCTCCAGTGGCGTGTCAGCAGCAGGAGGCCCCATTAGCTAAAGTGGTGCTTCAGGTTAAGAACAGTTTCAGGTTAAGAACGGACCTCTGGAACGAATTAAGTACTTAACCTGAGGTACCACTGTAGAGGTTGGGAGGGACTAACTCCCCACCCTCCCCAAAAAAGAGAGACACAGGCCCTGCTGGCTTCTTTATCAGTTGCCAAAATAGCCTCCTTTGCTACTCTCTTTTCATCTTCTCCCTTCAGCGGCTCTTGCTTCTTTTCCAGATCCAGGCCTTTCCATGCCATCCTGGGCACAAGCCCTGGGCGAATTTCAGGGCTACTGCTCCCTCTATTGGCTTTAGGAGACCTTGGCAGACAGGGAGTCTCCCTCACCTTGAACTGAACTTTCTCCAAACCACTTGTTTTTTTCTTCTTTTTCAGGTCTGGTGATGATTGGTGTGATCCTTGGTGCAAGAAAGGTGGGGATAAACCCAGACAACATTGCTACGCCCTTGGCAGCGAGCCTCGGAGACCTGATAACGCTTTCCCTGCTGGCTGCCATCAGCAGCACCCTCTACAAATACATAGGTACGTTAGCAAAAGAGGCCTGGGAGCTCTGAAACCGCAGAATGGCCTCTCCCTAGACAGCTGCCCACGTTGGAAGGAAAGCAGATTCCCAGGCTGACTAGGGTCTGCAGGGCTGGACAGCTTTGTTCTTCCTGTTGAGAGAGAACCTTCAGACTCTCTGAATCTCCTAGTTCATTTAAAGTGGCACAGTGGGATCCATTTTGGTAACCAACAAGGGAAAATCGGAATTTGTGTAACAGACCCATCAAAACTCCTGCACTTGAAGCACCCTGTAAATTACTCAGTGCATTCACTTGCTCTTAGTAAGCTGACCAGATAGAAATAGAGGATCCTGTGCCTTATTAGTGGTGTGAAAAATGAAATTTTGTAGGTTTTGGGGAGAGAAAACAACCTGAGAAGATCCCCTCTTCTACAAAGGTGTTCCTAAAAGTATGGCACCCCTGTTCTCTTTGGCCTTGATAGTCCTCTCTCTACAAAAGGATACCCTCAATCTCAGTTATCCCTTGTCTGTGCTCCCTCTTCATGAAGAACCTCCCAGATAGGAAAAGATACCCAATCACCATGCAGCCTGCATATTAAGAGCTGATACCAAAGTTTCCCAATAAAAGGAGGCAGTTCCAATTTGCTGTACACTTTCACTGAATTTTTAAAATTGCCAAGGCAGTTATTGGGTGACTGTCTGAGAGGAGTTTGTTGAAGGATGAGATTTTAGAATCATAGAATCATAGAGTTGGAAGAGACCACAAGGGCCATCGAGTCCAACCCCCTGCCAAGCAGGAAACACCATCAGAGCACTCCTGACATATGGTTGTCAAGCCTCTGCTTAAAGACCTCCAAAGAAGGAGACTCCACCACACTCCTTGGCAGCAAATTCCACTGTCGAACAGCTCTTACTGTCAGGAAGTTCTTCCTAATGTTTAGGTGGAATCTTCTTTCTTGTAGTTTAGATCCATTGCTCTGTGTCCGCTTCTCTGGAGCAGCAGAAAACAACCTTTCTCCCTCCTCTATATGACATCCTTTTATATATTTGAACATGGCTATCATACCACCCCTTAACCTCCTCTTCTCCAGGCTAAACATGCCCAGCTCCCTTAGCCATTCCTCATAAGGCATCGTTTCCAGGCCTTTGACCATTTTGGTTGCCCTCCTCTGGACATGTTCCAGTTTGTCAGTGTCCTTCTTGAACTGTGGTGCCCAGAACTGGACACAGTACTCCAGGTGAGGTCTGACCAGAGCAGAATACAGTGGCACTATTACTTCCCTTGATCTAGATGCTATACTCCTATTGATGCAGCCCAGAATTGCATTGGCTTTTTTAGCTGCCGCGTCACACTGTTGGCTCATGTCAAGTTTGTGGTCAACCAAGACTCCTAGATCCTTTTCACATGTACTGCTCTCAAGCCAGGTGTCCCCCATCTTGTATTTGTGCCTCTCATTTTTTTTTTGCCCAAGTGCAATACTTTACATTTCTCCCTGTTAAAGTTCATCTTGTTTGTTTTGGCCCAGTTCTCTAATCTGTCAAGGTCGTTTTGAAGTGTGATCCTGTCCTTTTGGCTTGTGTTTTATTTTTAGTTGATTAAGGATTATTTTTTCTTGGAAGTTTGTAGCAACAGCAGTCCAAGCTAACTGGAAATTGAGAGCAGATAACGTGGGTTACTTAGTGGTTTCCTTTATGTCCTTTTACATGACAGCAAATATGCTACACCCCAGCAGAGAAAGGTGGCCTAATAATTTCTTCCCATTTCATCCCTCCTCCCCTTCAGAAAAACCAGAGAACCAATGTAGCATAATAGTGCATTAGATTGGGACCACGGAAATATAGTTATGAAGCCCACTGGTTGGGATTGGGGATGGATTCAATTCAATTCAAAATGCAACCATCCTTCGAAATTTGCAGTACAGTTCTTCAGCCAAGTAAGGTGTACAAAAATGCATATACTGAGGTAAAGTTTGCATTAAAATGCATATATACTAGAGGGACTATGCTTTGCAAAAATAGTTTGGCAAAATTGCATACAAAATGTGTATATTAAGAGAAATCAACACTGGGGGGAACTGGTGTGGGAATGTGGAGACCTGAATTTAGAATTGGAAAATGAGAAACAGAGAAACCAAAGTGGGCAGATTCACCCATCTCTGGCTGATGTGTAACATTGGGCCAGTGACTGCTCTTGACCTTGCTTACCTCAAAGGGTTGTTGTGAAGCTCCTGAGTGCCTACATTGTAAGAGAGAACAAATGCAAAGGGCTATGTGGCTTCTTGTGTTTCTGATAATTGTGCAGATGAAGGAATATTGACAGAGCTAGCTTTTCTGCAGCAGTCCTGTGATATAAAAAGTAGCATCTGTACAGTGGTACCTCGGGGTTCAGACGCTTCAGGTTACAGACTCGGCTAACTCAGAAATAGTACCTTCAGTTAAGAACTTTGCTTCAGGATGAGAACAAAAATTGCGCGGCAGCGGTGTGGCGGCAGTGGGAGGCCCCATTAGCTAAAGTGGTACCTCAGGTTAAGAACAGTTTCAGGTTAAGAATGGACCTCCAGAACCAATTAAGTTCTTAACCCGAGGTACCACTGTAATCCCAGTTGGACACCATTCCCTGCTAAAGGTCTCCCGCTTGATAGCTATATAATTGTCTCTGAAAGCAGAGTTGCTTAGGCTCAGACACTCGCTACCTCCAGTTATAAAATCAATCAGAGAAGCCCCCACCCCTTTGCTGCTGTTGCTGCTGCTGCTGCACACGCTTCCTGCCCTGTATCACCTGGGGTGATGCTAAGGGCTGTGAAAATCCCATGCTCCACCCCCCAGAGAAAGGTGTGTTCCCTTTTTGGGTGACATCCTTTGTGATTTAAGACAACTTTTGTGATTAAAGGCTTTGATAACTGCATACTTGTAGCCTCAGGCTTTAACAGAATCTTGTTTTGAGAGAGGGAGAAAAAATATAAAGCACATTTCCAGAATGCTTCAACTGCTCCATTACCTGCAAAATGTGTTATGACCGGCCCAGCTTTGCACCAGTTATGAAGAGCAGATGGAGAGAGCCCTCTAAGAACGATCATTAGCATATCAAAAGGCCTGGCACAATCCCCATTGCTTGAAGGTGTTTCTGAAGCTTCCTTCCTTCTGCTTCTGAGTCATTCTTGTTTTGTCAGAGAAGCAGCATTCTCTCTCCCTCTTTCCTGACGTTCCCTGCACTTCTAAAGGTCACCCCAAGGTTGACTTATTCAGAAGACAGACAGAAATAAAACAACAGGAGCTGATATAAGCTAAAGCATGGGTAGGCAAACTAAGGCCCGGGGGCCGGATCTGGCCCAATCTCTTTCTAAATCCAGCCCGCGGAAGGTTCGGGAATCAGCGTGTTTTTACATGAGTAGAATGTGTCTTTTTACAGTGGTACCTCGGGTTAAGTACTTAATTCGTTCTGGAGGTCCGTTCTTAAAATGAAACTGTTCTTAACCTGAAGCACCACTTTAGCTAATGGGGCCTCCTGCTGCCGCCGCGCCACCAGAGCACGATTTCTGTTCTCATCCTGAAGCAAAGTTCTTAACCCGAGGTACTATTTCTGGGTTAGCAGAGTCTGTAACCTGAAGCGTCTGTAACCTAAAGCATATGTAACCCGAGGTACCACTGTATTTAAAATGCATCTCTGGGTTATTTGTGGGCTATAGGAATTCGTTCATTCCCCCCCCCCAAAATATATATATATATATAGTCTGGCCCCCCACAAGGTCTGAGGGGCAGTGGACCGGCCCCCTGCTAAAAAAGTTTGCTGACCCCTAAGCTAAAGGGACAGGGGTGGGTGGGGATGAACAGGGCCGTAACTGCTCTAGTTCTGAGTAGCTGGCATTCTAGTCCATTATCCCCTTTTTTGACAAGACAGTCTGGTAGCTTCACAAACAGTCCTGGGTGCTTCATAGAGAAGTATATAAAAGCTAGATCCAGCCTGCCTGGCACAAAAGAAAGTCACCTCACAGCTAGAGGTACACAGCTGGATTATACCACAATCAGTATTTTAGGTAAAAGGAAAAACCCACATAAAGAGGATAACCATCAAAATAATTCAGCAGCTCTGTGCCGTGCATTTGTTAGACTTCAAGGTTCCATGTGGTTTTATGTTGCCTTTGCTCACAATGAGCCTCGTGGTCCCTTTCCAACGCTACAATTCTACGAGTCAACAGACCAAGACAGCTGCTCCTTTTGAAACAACATGAACAATAGCAGCATACGGTATTAGGTCTGTGTCCGCTATAAATTCTAGAGTTCTTCAGGCCAGGTCTGGAACTTTTTACACATGGTCTACCTCTTTGAAGCAGCGTCTAAATCTATTGAAAGGTCTCGGTAATTGTCAAAGGGGTGGAAGCCAGTTTTCATTACTTCATTCAGCACTTGAACTGAAATTCCTATTCCAGAGCTCTTTTTCTCAAATCGCAGCTGATCAAAATTTGGTAAAAAAAGTTGACTTGTGTCGAACTGTCCTTATAGTGTCAGAAATGCTTGGTTGTCAGGTCTTCTCCCTTGATTAAGTCTGAGCTGCGTCCTTCCCTTGGCTGAACTCAGAAACGCTCAGGTTTTTTCACTGGTGCAGTTAGAAGCTCCAGGGTCTGTTTTATTTTTTTCAACAGTGTTGCTTAGTGAGCAGTGAGCAGTGACGTGTTATGCAATGGGAAAAGGGGCTCCAGTTCCATTCTGGTCAGCCTGTTTACTGTTATCACACATAGTGTTCTTCATTTATTTTTACCTTTACCTTTTCTTTTACCTTTACCTTTCTTCACTTATTGCTTAGTTTACTGCTCTCCTGCACCTTGCTTAAAAGCCTTTTTTAAAAAAAAAAATCAGCTGCGTGCTTTTTCCTTTTATGAAAGCTCCTTGGCTTCTTTTAGGAGGTATCCTATTTCCTCTGTACGGATTAACAAGCTTCTTTTAAATGCCGAGTCCTGCAGTATGACAAAATCACTTCTTGGAGATGTGGTAATGAGCTTGTTCTATTACCCCACAAGAGCAGTCAGTTAGGGTTTCTTAATTTTCTACCTTTGGGTACGGTAATTCTGCTTCCTCCAACTCCATCTTGCCAACGTGATGAAGGGGCTTCTGTCTGAAGATTAGTAGCAAATCCAGTTTGTATACTCTGGTGTGATGCTTACATGGAAAACACACTGACCCTGAAGTTAGTCGTGCTTAATTAAATTCCACTTAAAGCATCGAATCCTAAGGATCACCTTCTCCCATGTGAACCTGGGCACTTGGAAGAGAAGATAACTAATGGTGGCTCCTTATGTCCTTATCCAGCTCTGTTGCTGTGTTGCTGCTGGTCCTGTAATTGTGTTACTTCATTTAGGCTTCTATATATGCTTTGGTTTTATATTGATGTAAAACCCACTTGGCACATCCTTTTGGATGGAAAGTTGAGATAATAGATTAATTACAAAGAAGGTCTGCTCATGCAACAAAGCGTGCACCTTCCTCCTCGCATGCTCCCTAAATCTATTCCAGAGGGTTGGAGGGAGCCCCAGAACAGATTTAGGAGGTGCACAGGGGAAAGAGGGGAGAAAAGCCCAATTTCACAAGCAGGCCCCCTTCACTGCATGTACCCCACCTGGCACTACATTGAACAGAGCCGTCTTTCCCATAGGGCTTAGTGGTTCATTGTGCCAGAGCGCCGGCCTCTCAGGGCACCCAGCGAGTGGGGGAGCTGCGTGGCTTTGCCAGTGGCCTCCCCTTTCCCTGCACGCCCACCAGCTATGCCCCATCAACAATATGGCTGGCCGGTGCGCAGCTTCCCTCCCAAGCCTCTGCAGGGATTGCTCTCCCACAGCAGCATGGGGGAGAGTTGCGCCGCCCCCATGGCTGACAGTGCGCAGCTTCGCCCCCCCCCCAACTATCCCTGGTAATTAGGGGGCGCTGGGAGGATATTTGCGCTACATCTGCTAAAGACAGCCCTGACATTGAATTCCAGCCATATAAATCAATTACATTTAAAAATAAGTGTAACTTGGTCCATTGGTTTTGAGACTTTACACCTCTAACGTTCTCTGGAATACACCCTGCTCTCCTGCCTGCTAGAGCATGCTTACTATTTTGGCATTATGTTTTCTATTGCGGCAACCAATGCATTCCCCCCACGACACCTAATTCTGCTGGCTGCTTATAGATGGCGATGGAAGCAGGCAGTGATGGAGGATTGCTGCATAAAAATCCTAGAGCAAACAGGCTTGGACACTCAGCACTGCATCTGTTCTTTCGCTTGAGAAAGCGGAATGGTCTTCCCCACAAAGTTGTATCCTTTCAGATTTGGAAATTCAGACATATACCTTTTAAGATGTGTTGTGGAAAGGGGGATTATTGAGTTGTCAACGTCATTGTTTTTATTATGTATTTTTTGTTTGTTTCTTATATTGCAATTTTATGTTGTGAACCACCCCGAGATCTATGCCTTTAGGGCAGTATACAAATTTAATAAATAAAAATAAAATAATAATAAACCTTTCCTTTTCTTTGACAGGGGTGAGATACCTGTCGCCCCTGATCTGTGCCGTCTTCATTGTTATGATTCCTCTTTGGATCGCCATTGCCAGGCAGAGTCCTCCCGTTGCTGAAGTCCTCAAGACTGGGTGGCAGCCAGTCATTGTTGCCATGGCCATCAGCAGGTAAGCATCGTGGGCTAGAGATGGACTGGAATTTGAGAGGTCTTGTCCCTGATGCTAACTGTGCAAATACGACGCTTCCAGGGACAATTTCTTTCTGTGTATTTGGTTTGTAGCTAACATGTTCTTGGAGTGTGGAGCCTTAGGTAGCCCAAACAGTGCCATACATGCACAGGACGTGTCAGCAAGCTGGGGGAATGTACAGTGTTTATAGAGGTACAATAAGGAAGAAAACTTCTTCTTCTTCTTTATTATTTATTTATTTATTTATTTATACCTTGCCCATCTGGCTGGGTTTCCCCAGCCACTCTGGGCGGCTTCCAACAAAATATTAAAATACATTGGTCTGTTAAACATTAAAAGCTTCCCTAAACAGGGCTGCCTTCAGATGTCTTCTAAAAGTCTGGTAGTTGTTCTTCTCTTTGACATCTGGTGGGAGGGCGTTCCACAGGGCGGGTGGGAGTCCCAACAGCGTGCAATGAGGAGAATATTCAGTAACCACAAGATGCTGATGGACTCTTGGTATAAGCATGAACCAGCCCCAAAACTGCTTATGTGTATGTGTTAAAAGAGGCAAATGAGGCCTGAAACAAAATTTCGTTGTCCCCGAGAGGGGGCAATGACAATAAAGATTTATTATTATTATTATTATTATTATTATTATTATTATTATTATTATTATTAAAATGTTGCAGTGTGCAGGCTTCCAGCCATGTCCTTTTGCAATACAACTCTGCTTCCATTGGCTCCCACCTCTTAAAAGGAATCAGCTTGGATAACTGCATAATGAGCTGATTTGAACTGTAAACAGCATATCTCTACGTATTTCAGAATTCATTGACCAAACAACTGCTATCTAATAAGACACAGGCTGGACACACACATATTTATGATTATCTTGGGAGGTCAGGGCATGTGGAAATGCAGCCATGTTAAAAAAACAAAAATGCAGGACCCAGCATCAGATGATGCACAGGAGGAACATACTTTGAGTATTGACCTTGGCAGGGTGCCCTCTTGGTAGTTCCTCTGCCCTCAGGGTGGTGGTGGTCCAAGAGAGGGCAGTCCCTAAGTTGTGGAATTCCCTTCCCACAGAGGTGCATCTGGCACCTTCACTATACAACTCACTTCCAGTGCTGAAGATGTACCTCTTCACCCTGGCTTGAGATGCATATTGTTGCGTGTCACTCCAATATCCAAGCAGTGCAAGACTCCAGGGGTTCCAGGCACTGACCCGAGGTCCGTGTTTCCTTTAAGAAATGAGGCACAGTGGAGACTATGGTGTCTTTATGATATATGGTTTATTTACACATATACAATGTATACAACCTGAGCATGCAAGGGAGAGGTTCACAGCACTGACCCCCGTCCCCAAGAGGGTCTTGATTCTCCCATAGCTGCAGCTTTCGATTCAAACACAGAAATCAACCATCATGCTCTGACCCTCTTTCCAGCTTGCTGACTTTAACAGACTGCAACCTTTTTTCTTAGGTCCTGTCATAGCCAACTCTAAAGGCTCTTCTTCAAACTCTGCTTTGTTTCCGAAAACTAACCCTGAATAGAGCAAAAGGTCGCTTCCATTTGCCATCTGGCACAGAGCCCCCCCTAATTTTGCTTTTCTAATGGCTCCTTACCTTCCTTACCGTCCTCCTAATGGCCCATCACCCCAGGTGATTTCTTGGTCAGGAAACTGATCTGGCTTATATTTTAACTGATCTGGCTTATATTTTAACATTTGCCTTGATTAAATTCTAACCCTTACTGGACCTAGGAATTTAGGGGAGTCTAGTAATCATAAACTCAAAACAATATTTTTACACCCCACCTTATTTTTGTATTTTTAAAATATTAGTAATGTTTTTTAATTGTTGTAACCTGCCATGGGACCTTAGGGTGAAGGGCAGGTAATGAATTATAAGAATAATGCTGATGGTGTGCATATTGCTATGTGGAGATACCTTCCAGAGTTATAGTTCTTATCTTGAAATTTGTTCCAATCACATATGTTTATTCTTTTCAACTTTTCTTTTGCTTTTTATGCCACCTTAGTTCAGATCAGATTTCTAACAGTCATGGCATGGCTATATTCTCAAGAAAATACTCTGAAGCCGTAAATGAGGATGGTCCGCATAATAAATGAAATTTATGGCCTTGTACTTGTCATATTATTTAAAATGATATGCTGTAAAGTGCTACAAGTTTTGTTTTTCAATCTATTGTGCTTGGTCTGTTAGGTTCATTAAAACATTTTCCTTATTGCTTTGGTGTTGAAGACATTTCCTGAGTGTACAGGGGGGGATAGAATGTTAAATTATTATTATTATTATTATTATTATTATTATAATTTGTATACCTCCCTTCATCCAAAAATCTTTCCTGTTGTGGGATTTCAAATATGTACTATTTTCCTTCAAGTCTTCCTAGTCTGGGAACTGGGGTGAAATCTTTGTTATCTTAGTAAAGCTGTCCGCCTGAATGGCAGCAGCAAAAGTAAGGATTTCCACAGAATATTGCTGAAAAAGATCAGGATTAGAAGCAAATGTAAACAAAGAAGATACTGATTATTCATACAGTCACTGAGTAGTGGGATACTAACAGATGAAGGATATACTCATGTTCTCTCATTTTTTAAAAACAGCATCGGGGGACTTATCTTGGACAAAACCATAACCGATCCAAACTTTGAAGGCATAGCTATTTTCACTCCTGTGATCAATGGTAGGTTGATTCTTTTCTTCTTTTTCTTTTTAAGCATGTCAGGCTGCAAGTGAAATATATGTCCCTATTTCCACCCTCATCGTTGTAGGACTTAGAGAATCCTCGTTTTCAGATCTGTAAGCCAGACAAATCCTGATTGTCACACAAAGGCATTGTCTACCTGCAGTTGGATAGACCAGAGACTTAAGATCAGTTGTGGAGTACATATATTGGCTGTGCAAAAGGTCCTGATTCAGGCCCTGGTATTTCCAGATAGGGCTGGAAAAGACACCCATGACAATGCCATTTAGTGAAGACAACACTGAGATAAACAATCCATTGGTTTGACTCAGTAAATCATCTTCCTGTGTACTTAAATGTTAAATTTCCAGTAGAAGATTAAATGCTTCAAAAGCTGTGTATAGTACTTAACACTTTTGTGCTGGCCCTGGAAATAGGCACAAGTGACTGGAGTATTGGGTTTCTAGGGTGAGATCCAGTGTCAGTCATACTCAGGGTAGACCCATTGAAATGAATTGAATAGTCCTGGAATTTCCCTTTCCGCATAGCACTAACTGTGCTGCACTGCATCATGAGATACGGAAATTGGTTTGGAACAAATGTGGTTTTGAGCTTTCTTTAAATATGGATATAAATAAGGCAAATATAGAAAGGTTTTAAAGAAATAAAACACAAGAATGAAGTAGAGGATTGTTCCACTCTGAACTCAGGAACAGCATTCATGTGAACAGGATTTTACCAAGAACTGTTGTCTCCATCAATGCGCCAAAATGGGCAGCATCAGGGAGCATTACAAGGAGTGGAAGATCCCACATATAAGACATTGTCAGGTTTCCACAGAACTAACCTCTATCTGCTGAACACGAAAGGTGACTTCTCCTTCCACTTCAGAAAGTTAACATTTGTCTTGCAATTTTACCAGGCCTTACATCCAGCTGATTCACTCTCAGCTGAGTCCAGTGCCTCCAGAAGAACATTGTGACAATGCTCTGCCATGCTTTGCTTTTAAAACTTAAGAGTCTTCTGGTTCTGTTTGTTTCTGAGAAAAGGGATTGAAAGCAGCTGTTGGATTTCCAGTGCTGCAGTTGCTCTGCCAGATACGTCCTTGAGACTCATTATTGCCAAAGGTTTATAGGACAATTGCTTCATATAATCTGAGGTGGTTGAAGACATAATGTTGCTGTAAAATAGCCCTCCAAAGGGAGACATTCACTGGGGGCTTTCTCCTTTCAATTACTTTATGGGTCCTTTCTCATAAGCTTATGGACTCAGCTATACAAGTGCAAATAGAACATTTTAAGTGTGTTTTAAGCGCAATATACAATGTGACACTAGATGGCGATTGTGAGCCTTATGGAAAATTCAATTTATTTCTATAATCGCTTTTTAAAAAAAGAATTTTCAGAATGGTTTTTCACATGTGTGTGTAGATTCCACCTGAGTGACAGCCAGAAATTAGTAGTATTATACAGTGTGCCCCAAGAGTTGGCGCAGTAGAGAAGGAAATGGAGTCAGGCCCTAGAGCAGGAATCTGTGTCCCTCAAGATGTTATTGAGCTACGACTCGAGTCCCTGGCAATGGGCCTGGGGGAAGTCTTAGTCCAACTACAATTGAAGGCTTCCAGCTTCACCGTCTTTCCCCCTAGAGGATGTTTTTAATTTAGCCTCTCTCAGTTTTAGCTTTGTTATGCTGTTCAAACACTCTGCATTGTTTGCATGTTAATTGATTGTAGTACGTTTTTCGCTCTGTTTTTCTTTTCTGCTTTGAACACCTCTTCCAGGTGTTGCAGGAAGTTATGTTTTTCATTCTGTTTTTGTTTTCTGCTTTGAATACCTCTTCCAGGTGTTGCAAGAAGTTGCAGGATAGAAATTTTGTCGCAAGTAATAAATAAGCTCGCATGCCGAGAGCCTGTCAGAATGCAAGGTGGCCCATATCCAGGGGAGACTAATTAGATTGATGGTGCTGAACTTTTAATTTGTCCTCTCATTCCATGGTTCCTTTCATCAGAATAGAAATTGCTGGTACCGTAATTACCACAGTTGCAGATATACTGCAGGTGGTTTCACAGCCAAGCACTGCAGCACCTGTTAGCTGTTTGTTATAAAAGAACCTGTCTATGCACAAGAGTCAAACAAGTTGTATTACAGAGCACCTGTGTTGGCTATCTTAACTCACGAAGGAGGGAAATCTTTCTCTCTCAGAACTGGAAGTATTTGGTTATGTATCTGGAGCAAGAGAAACAAAAGGAGAAGCCCTGTTGCAGTTCGTGCAGTGTAACCTTGCAGCAGTTTTGCAATTCCTTTTCTGGTAGTTAGAAATTTGAGGAGGCCTCTGTCCCCTTAAAGATTTAAAATGCCTGCCGAGGCCTCAAAGCAGTAAGAGCAGTTGCTGCAGCCCCTGTAGCTTCTTTCCATTTCTCTGTGTAAAACCACAGTAGAGATTGTCATTGGAAGTCTACTCAGTATCGATCCAGAGTAGATTCCAATGCATAATTAGCAGAGTAAAAACTTAAACATGTCACAGGATTTCCAAAAAATAGACCAGAGGCAATCCTATTTCATCCAGCAGAGCTTTACTGCTACTGAAGGCAAATGAGTGTAATGGTCACAAATCCAATACATTCAGGATTGGCACTGTCCATAAGAAATCCAGTTGCAGCAGACGTAACCTAAACTTACAAACTTATAGTAAGACTATAACCTTAACACTATATACTGTACACCACGCCAGAAAGAAAGAGAGTGAAACCTTCTGGCCTCACTATTATAGTCAGCATGACCTTGACAGAAAGAGATAACAGAACCAGTTTAAACCAGCTGTACTCAGCTTCTCAGAAGGAATAACCCAAACACCAGTAACCTTCTGCTTGCTTCTTTCACACAGAGAAGCTTCCAGAACCCTCTTGAATTAAGTAGAATAGGAAAGATCGCTACACCAGATCAGTACTTTCTGTACTAAGAAATGCAAACTGACAGAGATAGAAGATCTTGGGAACTATGATTTGCCCACCCTGGCTCCTCTCTCACTTCCCCACCTCTAGCAGCTGAGCGTTGGCATTGCTGGCCGTGCTTAAAGCTCACTCAGGGCATTGTGATCTGTACAGGTGTGCTTGTGCAGCTGCCAGGTAGGTGGTAGAATTCTGGGGCAACGCCAGTAGCAACAGAAGCAGTTCTTCTTGTACGAAGCATCCATAGCACCGATCCGGTTGTTGTTCTGTCGGTATTCTAATGCTTTGCTGCTGATCAGGTGACAGCAGTGTTTCCTGCCTCACCATCCGCTTGTGAGCAATGTTCTAAAGGATACTGAGCTAGAGAAGGCAGTGTAAGCCAGTAAGGCGGTTTGGTAGCTTATAGGACAGACGTCTGCTTAGCTTTCAGACCTGTGGGAGTGAATGAGTGGGTATTGACTGATCGCCATCCTCCCAGTGTCTCCCAGCTATTGGGGTTTAAAGGGTGAGTTCAGCTTTTTTTTTTTGCTTTGCAGGTGTCGGCGGCAATCTGGTAGCTATCCAGGCCAGCCGGATCTCCACATTTCTGCACTTCTGGAGCATGCCTGGAGTCCTGCCACACAAGATGAGGCAGCACTGGCCAAATCCATGTACCACCTTCTTCAGTTCAGGTAATCTGCTTTCTAGATACTGGTGCCTAGCTACTTTCGCATCTAAACCCCCAGGGAAAACTCTACACTAGCCCAAATTATTGTTGTTGATAATAATATTAGTTGTATTTATTTGTTGCTTACTATAAAAGAAGTCCCAATGCAAACCGCATATATAGGGGATCTCCCATTTGGGACCAGCTCCTTACTAGCAGACCATTTCGTATTCACTCAGTGTAACCAGAGTTATGATGTCATTTGCCTTTTCTCCCCTGCAGGAATCAATTCAAAGTCTGCTCGTGTCTTGATCCTGCTAGTGATCCCAGGGCACCTGCTGTTCATCTACACCATTCATTTCTTGCAGGCAGGCCATACGGCTCCCACCTTCACTTTTGTCTCCTTCTACCTGACGGCTGCTTTTCTACAGGTAACCAGAAACTTGACTTCTTCTGTTTCTGTATAAGTTTGGGTTCTGCCATGTGTTCCAGAGTCAATTAGCCACTGTAGCTATATGAATGCACCAGGGACAGACCCTGATTTCTACAAACCGCAGGCCACCATCCTCATCCCAGTCCCTTTTAGATTTCTAAATTTACAGCACCCACTTGGAAGCCGCAGTATCTTTTTAGTAGAGATTTCTAGGGGAAACTGATTGAGAGATCTGTGTAAAATGCTGCAGGGTGGCAGATTAAATTCCCCCATTTCCAGCTAGAACACATTACCCTCTTTTCACACCTTCCCCATGTCGCTAAGAAAAATTATCAGTCATGCACCTTCCTTTTCCCATGATATTTGAATTGTTGAGTCAAAATCTCTATAATAGTTTGAAGGGGAGTTTGGGCATTTATGCCCTGCCTTTCTTCCATCCTGGAACTGATCAAGGTGGCATAGATATGTTTCACACCTGATCACCTGTCCAGGCACTGCTCAGACTGACAGCTGCCTAGTTAGCTTTAGGAAGGTGCTGGTTTCATACCCAGGAGCTGCCATAGGCTTCATCCGGCAGTACGTGCATTTAGAGCATTTATGCGCTGACTGAAGAGCAGTGCTGTGATTTTAGCCCCATCCGCAACCCAGCAACAGTTTCCTGCAGTATATTGCCCACAATCATCTACAGAGAAATCGCTCTGCGAGCGCCTCCTTGTGTGTAGGAGTTGTGTGAGAGTGGACACCCAGTTGCACCAGTGTCTTGGTTGTGCAGGACCTCCTGTGCCACTGTTCTTCAGCTGGTGGGTTGCGGCCTGATTCAAAGTGGGCTAAGGCATGCGTGGGCTAAAAGTGGGTCTTGGGTCTGAAAAAGTTGTAGATACCTGCTCTACACACAAGTATACTGGGACTGCTCTTCAGACAACCCCACGCAACCTGTGGCCTGCTCTGCGTGCCACACAGAAATGCCATCCCTTGTGAGTGTCACATCATTACGGCTCCTGTGTCTTCCCTGTTGCAGCTGCCATACCTCCCCCCACCCACCCACTCCACCCACAAACCAGTGGCAGGTTGGAAGGGCATGGCAGGATGCAACAATTTGGTGTTTATCCTGAAACCAGACTGGGTGAAAGCAACCGCTGCCTCCTGCCCTCTGTCTACCTGCTAGTCTGCTTGCAGAGGGAGAGGGGTGGATAGAGCACACTTCCTTTGGCCCACTTTCATTCACTACCCCCCCCTTTGTGACCTCACCCTTCCACTTTAGCACGTGTGAATGTGGTGGCAAAACTGGGTGGAGGGGAGAATTTGACCCAGCCCTAAATATTCCTGCCCTCTGGGCTCCCATGGTCCATGGAATCAAAGTTCCTCTGTGTCCCACTGTTGTTGCCAAGTCCGGTGCCTGAGTAACAGAAGCCCTTCCCAGCAGAATGGAACTGTGACTGATCTGCATGCTGATGGCCATGTGGTTTCCCACCCCCTCTGCTTACAGGTGGCAATCCTGCTGTACCTGGCTGACATTCTCGTGCGGCTGTTCTGGAGAAAGGGCATGGATCCTGACAACTATTCCATCCCCTACCTCACCGCTCTGGGAGACGTATTGGGCACTGGCTTCCTGGCCCTTTGCTTTCACTTGGTTTGGATCTGCAATGGGCTGAAGTCCATACCAAAGCACTAAAGAGGACTTCTGCTGCAGCACTGACCTGCCTACTGTTTCAGCAAGTAAAAAAAGTATATATATCGCAATGGTGCTCTTGACACGGTCCAAACAGGGTATGAAGAAGAGGATGTCCAGCTCCTTAAACAGGAATGGCTTGGATATCCCTCCCCTTCCATCTCAATACCATGTAGATGTGAGGTTTGAAAGATACCTACCAATGAAATGGCATCAACGTGGACACAGCTTCCAAAGTGTCAGTAATGAATGGGTTGTGAAACGCTGCTCCTGCCTACCTTCCTCTTGGTTAAGAAGTGTTATTGAAATGGCCGAGTCTGAAAAGCCCATTGACGCTAATGGGAGGCTATCCACTGATCTCAGTGGGGTTTAGATTATGTCCTAGATGAGGATGTTTCACTGTATTTGCCAGGCATCAGCTGGCAATCAAAGATGACATGTTCACGTCTGTATTTCTTCTGTATGTTCCCACACAGAGCGGGGTGGGGGAGAGAGAATTATGTCCAGGGCTAGTCACACTCTGCACCAAAAATAAAAAATATATACTGTATATCCTACACAAAGGAAACCAAAAATACTTTGCACCGCAATAGCTCAGATTCTGCCTCACAATACCTCATTGCAGCATTGTATATAGCAATTTAGGTACTTTACGTTTCTCAGTTTGCATGCTGATGCTTAATTTGAGTGTTTTGCAGAAGTTTCAGAATGTTGAAACTGTGGTAGCAGGAGTGGAGTATAAGTTAAGAAGCAGGAGAAGGTGGCCGAGGATGGGGGAAATGTAGCTGGAAGGCGTAAAATAGCCAAAACTGAATACTAAAGCTTCGTATTGGCTGTTTGAATGGTTTCAAACAACTCTACCCACCCATAAAATCTTGAGAGGCTGAGCAAGCTTCTCATCCCACTCTCCACGCCAGTTGTCCCGTCGAAAACTGCTTTCAGGGTTTGTGCAAGGATACTCGTAGATTAAATGGCCAGCTCTGCTGATGGACTTCGTAAATACTTCTTCGGTAACTGAGGTAGTTCCCTACAGTGTGTTCTGAAGGCTCATCTGGGGGTAGGAGTGAGCTTTATGTATTCTGTATGGAAGTCACTGTCCTGGGGAGCAATGTGTGGATAGTACTCAGCACCTTTTAAGAGTTCTGTGCCCATGGACTTCCTCAACTCACCTGTCCTTCCCAAGGCAGGAAAATCAGCCATGTTTATTCCTGGCACAGTGCTCTTAAAAACCCAGTGAGTTATTGCTTAAGGCTTGCAACAGAGGCTGAGCATGTCTGGCCTTCCAGGTGTTGTTGGGCTCCCAACTCCCATCAGCCCCAGCCAACACATCTTTGTAGCCCAGAAGCACCTGGAGGACCACAGGTTACCCACGCCTGTTGGGAAGACCCAAGGGTGGATTTTCACCATGTCATCAGCATCAGTGCCAAGCGTGATAGAATTGTCATTCTCTCTCCCTCGTTTTTTGTTTTGCAGTTTCAAATCTCATGAGTTTTTATGGTTTGTAGAAACACCCACCCACATGTAAAATAAAAGTGTAAAAATGGTTCACGTTTTGAGAGTTTCATTGGGGGTTCTGGTCCATGACTGGAACAGTATATATGGGATATACCTGCTTCAGGTATAGATGAGGAAGCCTTCCCTTTCAAATGAAGGATATAAGTTTGGTTTCCACATTTTAGCCATGGAAAATTATGCAAGTAAAACTTCGAAGTATATGTTTGAAGACCAAGACGTCCAATCCATTGTGACTTCTGGTCAGTTCACAAATTGAAAATGAAAATAAAACAAGCAAACAAAAGCAATAAACAGAAAAAGCTAATATTTCAACAATAATGGTAGCACAAAACATAAAATCAATGAAAACAATAATGAAAAGCTAAAACTCAGTGGAGGGGGTGGGGTGGGGACCAGTGTGTTCAAAGGAAACAGTAAATTTCAATTATTAGCCTGGAAGAGGTTAAGAAAAAAATATCCTGGCACCAAAAAAATCTTTATGACAAGAGTCTATGGGAAAGCATTCCACAACAGGTGCCACCAGCAAAAAAGGCCCTCTCCCTAGTATTCACATGCCTCACCTGACTTGGCAGGACTGGGAAAGTATATATGGGATATCCTTCAGGTATCCTGACCCCAAACTACTTGGATCTCCCCTCCTGCAAGTCATCTTCATAACAAAATATAATGAATGAGCTCTTTCAGCATGTGAACAAAACATCTGCATCCCCTTGTGCACGAAGGCAGAATTACTTGGTTCCAGCTGTATTCAGCCACAAACCCAGATGTGTTGCAACTCTTGTGGTCCGCCGAGGAAGAATGGTTCCTTGCTCTAAAGCTGGAGTAAAGCTCCCAGTAATTGAAAGAAGGTGGTGAGAAGGCATAATAAGTTGCACAGTGCTTTATATAATCTTAAAACTGGCTTATTCCTTTTGGAAAGAATTGAGGCATGGTGCGAAGAAAAAAAGGCATTCCTAAAGCAGGCCTGGAGGGGAAAGACACCCCCCCCCCGTAGGGTGTGTGTGGTGGCAGTTCAAACCCTCTGCCTGCTTGGTTAGCCAGTGTGACCCAACAGTTTCACTACTTTAGGACTTCTGTGTTTTTGACAGTGCTGTGTATCGCTGCTGCTGCTGCTCCTACTACAGGATCTGCTTTTAATTTCACTGATCCCACTTCGTCACTCAAACTAGGGCTTGAACTGTTCATTCCCCTGGAGTCGTAACAAGAAATTGTCCCCTTTTTAGTGGAGGGGGAAAAAGAGAGTTTTCTCATCCAGACCTACTGCAGGGCTTGTTTCCGCCTTGGACCCGGCTCAGGGAGAATAGCCATCCAAGTGTCAGCTCAGCTGGGCTCTCGTACAATTCATATTCACTTGAGTGGGGCTCTTGGACAGGAGAGGTGAAAAACAAATAAAAAGACGCAACTCATGTGACATAGAGAACAACCCAGTGGATGATCTAGGCCAAGGATGGGTAATCTGTGGCCCTCCAGATGCTGTTAGACTCCAAATCCCATCAGCCCAGTAACCGCAAGGAATGGTGTGAGTTGTGGTCGCACAACTGGAGGGTCACAGGTTTTCCATCCCTAATGTAGGCCCATCTAGAGCAGGCATAGGCAAACTTGGCCCTCCAGATGTTTTGAGACTACAATTCCCATCATCCCTGACCAATGGTCCTGTTAGCTAGGGAAGATGGGAGTTGTAGTCCCAAAACATCTGGAGGGCCAAGTTTGCCTATGCCTGATCTAGAGCATAGGCTTTTAAGTGGCGGATCCTATTTCCTACTGACCTTAAAACCCTTTTCTCCAATACTGTTTGGCATTGCACCTGATGCTATAACCCACCAACTCCTATTATCGTGCTTCCTCCACCCAGGTATTTTTTAGGCGGGGAACGGTTTGTGATTTTTGATATGGTAGACGATAACAGTCTCCATTAAAATAAATGACAGCTTTTTAAAGAATAGGGCCCTCTGAAAAATTCAGTGAATAAAGCAGGGCGAATGTACAACAAGAGCCTCATCTGTCCATGCTCCACATCCCTGGACTGCTTATCCAGGACTTTCCCTGGCTGTGGGTGGATTTTTCATTATCAGAGTCACCCTATAATTACTTAAATGATCCGGGCGGGGGGGGGGGGGACCAGGCTGTATAGTAGCATGATCCTTGAAGAGTTCAATATTAGAACTTTGCATTATGGGCTGGAGTTAAACTTCACCCCTTGGACTTTCCTTTGCCCTGCTTTTCAGTTTCAGTTGTGTTTTCTACCTAACTAGCCATAAAGAAGCCCGTTTCTCTGCCTGCTGCAAGAAGTAAGAGTTTGTTTATTCTGCATTTCTGATGATGAATAGAGCGTGATTGGGTGCTTATTGCTACAAGATGAAACAAAGAGATCTGGAAAAAGTATCTACCCTTTCATATTTTAAAGCACTCACTATACTCTGTCATGGGACGCGGGTGGCGCTGTGGGTAAAAGCCTCAGCGCCTAGGGCTTGCCGATCGGAAAGTCGGCGGTTCGAATCCCCGCGGCGGGGTGCGCTCCCGCTGCTCGGTCCCAGCGCCTGCCAACCTAGCAGTTCGAAAGCACCCCCGGGTGCAAGTAGATAAATAGGGACCGCTTTATAGCGGGAAGGTAAACGGCGTTTCCGTGTGCGGCTCTGGCTCGCCAGAGCAGCTTTGTCACGCAGGCCACGTGACCCGGAAGTGTCTCCAGACAGTGCTGGCCCACGGCCTCTTGAGTGAGATGGGCGCACAACCCCAGAGTCTGTCAAGACTGGCCCGTACGGGCAGGGGTACCTTTACCTTTTATACTCTGTCATAAGGGACGCGGGTGGCGCTGTGGGTAAAAGCCTCAGCACCTAGGGCTTGCCGATCGAAAGGTCGGCGGTTTGAATCCCTGCGACGGGGTGCGCTCCCGTTGCTCGGTCCCAGCGCCTGCCAACCTAGCAGTTCGAAAGCACCCCCAGGTGCAAGTAGATAAAGAGGGACCGCTTACTGGCGGGAAGGTAAACGGCGTTTCCGTGTGCTGCACTGACTCGCCAGATGCAGCTTTGTCACGCTGGCCATGTGACCCGGAAGTGTCTCCGGACAGCGCTGGCCCCCGGCCTCTTGAGTGAGATGGGCGCACAACCCCAGAGTCTGTCAAGACTGGCCCGTACGGGCAGGGGTACCTTTACCTTTACCTTTATACTCTGTCATAGAAGCTATTTTTTCCTTCCTTTTCTTGAGTACTTTATGGCATCCTAGGGTCTAGGAGTCTTGGTTGACCACAAACTTGACATGAGCCAACAGTGTGACGCGGCAGCTAAAAAAGCCAATGCAATTCTGGGCTGCATCAATAGGAGTATAGCATCTAGATCAAGGGAAGTAATAGTGCCACTGTATTCTGCTCTGGTCAGACCTCACCTGGAGTACTGTGTCCAGTTCTGGGCACCACAGTTCAAGAAGGACACTGACAAACTGGAACGTGTCCAGAGGAGGGCAACCAAAATGGTCAAAGGCCTGGAAACGATGCCTTATGAGGAACGGCTAAGGGAGCTGGGCATGTTTAGCCTGGAGAAGAGGAGGTTAAGGGGTGATATGATAGCCATGTTCAAATATATAAAAGGATGTCACATAGAGGAGGGAGAAAGGCTGTTTTCTGCTGCTCCAGAGAAGCGGACACGGAGCAATGGATCCAAATTACAAGAAAGAAGATTCCACCTAAACATTAGGAAGAACTTCCTGACAGTAAGAGCTGTTCGACAGTGGAATTTGCTGCCAAGGAGTGTGGTGGAGTCTCCTTCTTTGGAGGTCTTTAAGCAGAGGCTTGACAACCATATGTCAGGAGTGCTCTGATGGTGTTTCCTCCTTGGCAGGGGGTTGGACTCAATGGCCCTTGTGGTCTATTCCAACTCTATGATTCTATGATCCTAGAGGAACAGAAACACTGCAGAGCACATGATAGCTAGCCACCTAGGGTGCAACTCAGGAGAAATGCAGATCAGTGTCTCCCCCAACACTGTAGCATTAGCTGCCTTGAATTTCTTCTGAAAAGTAAGGTAAAGGTAAAGGTACCCCTGCCCGTACGGGCCAGTCTTGACAGACTCCGGGGTTGTGCGCCCATCTCACTCAAGAGGCCGGGGGCCAGCACTGTCCGGAGACACTTCCGGGTCACGTGGCCAGTGTGACAAAGCTGCATCTGGCGAGCCAGCGCAGCACACGGAACACCTGTTTACCTTCCCGCTGGTAAGCGGTCCCTATTTATCTACTTGCACCCGGGGGTGCTTTCGAACTGCTAGGTTGGCAGGCGCTGGGACCGAGCAGCGGAAGCGCACCCCGCCGCGGGGATTCGAACTGCCGACCTTTCGATCGGCAAGCCCTAGGCGCTGAGGCTTTTACCCACAGCGCCACCCGCGTCCCTTTTTTCTGAAAAGTAGGCAAATTTTAAAAATTAAAAAATAGTGCCTCATGCCGGTAAGCCAAGCATGCCACAAAATTTTGTAAAATAATACAAAATCACTCACTGACAAACAAACAAACAAACCACATACTGCTCTAATTATTTAGGGCTTGCCTACACCTCTATTTACCCGGCTATTTTCCCTGGGGGAAATGCTGTTCACCACAGAATCGGACCAAATGATTGTTTTCCGTGGATTGCTGTTTGGTCCAATTCAGCAGCAAAGAGTGTGTTTTCTCAGGGAAAGCTGCAGGGCAAACACAAAACCTCTCAGACCCATGGCTAGAAAGCAGAAAACCTCTCAGACCTATGCTTTCTAGGCATGGGTGGACAAGCCCTCAGTTTGCAAAACATGATATTTTAGGGCGAAGGTTAATGGTTTTACCCAACTCACTTTGGTGGATGGCATCAGCTGTGGGCTGATCATCAATACCTGCTATGCACCTATTTGTGAAAAGTAAACAAGACCCATCTGTTTCAGCTAACGTTTTTCCTTTTGAATTATGTGGATGTTTTGCAGGGAGGGGGCCACACCAAAATATGCCTCTGAATACCCATTTCTGAAAGGAAAGAAATGGCACTAGCCTTAGGTGGCATTCTCTGTGAAACACA